CTGCCACACTTTTAGCTTCTTTCATTCTTTGGAGTCTCATAACAGCAGAGACTCCCTATGCCCGAAGAAAGGTGATTGTGCCTGAAACCTTGCTAAGAACTTTTTTCCAACTACTCAGTTGGTCTAATAAAATATGTCATATCTGTTCAAAGAACCTTGCCTGCCTGTGTACTTAGACCAGGGGTGGGCAAAATGCGGCCCCTAGGCCGGATGTGGCCCACCAGGCCATTCTATCCAGCCCACGGGGCCCCTAAAAAATTTAGAAAATTAATGTTTATCTGCCCCTGGCTGCCTGTCATGTGGTTCTCAATGGCTTGTCAAAACTCAGTAAGCGGCCCTCTGCCCGAAATAATTGCCCACCCCTGCCTTAGACCAGACCAACATGGCTACGACCAAAAACCTTTTCATTGTGACACAATTACACTGAAACTCAGTCAATACATCTCGTTTTCAAGTCGCTGTGTAGATGGAGCTTAGTCAGTAACACCTGTGCACTGTGAATGTAAAGTACTATTGTTTTTGTCCTGCTATAATGAAACTGCTAATGACCGTATAAGGAAGACTGGAGAACCAGACCCAACATTAATTTGTTGGATCCCCTGTATTGCACACAATATTTTAAGGGCTATTTTTTTCTTCTTACATTCACACTTATAACTTCCATTGAGTTTAATGGAAACTGAATGCATCTGAGGTCACTACTTGGCACTCTTTCTGTTATCTCAAGCACTTCGTACGAAGCAATTCCCCTTGATTTTTCAAATACGTTCTTTTCTTCTGTCCTAAGGATAGTTGCCCATTTTACTGATGCTGAACACATTCTAAGCAGACTATATAGTTATCTACAAAACTATTTCTGAAAATAAAATTAATGAATGTGTAAAGGACCACATTTTGCTCAGTGAAAACATGAAACACTTTCAATACAGACAGCTAAGCAGATTTTAAAATCAAGAATGAGTTCTTGAGTAGCAACATGAGAGTAGACAGTTTGCCCACTTATCTAACATTAGGAAAACATTATTTCTGTATTATGGTCTGTGAGCTGAGACAAAAGGAAGCTGTATGTTCCTTGTAAGGGATAAAGGGCATATTTATAGTCCCATGATTATGAAATTTGACTGGTTGCATCATTTTTATCTAAACTTGTTTTTTCCCTCTTCTTCCCTCAGTATGATAATAACTAATGAAGTTAAAACTGCACTAGGGAGACAAGTGGAAGACTAACTTGGTCCTTTTTATTGTTCCCATTTATAATAAAGGATTATTTGAACTGATACACCATAAATTCCCACTGTGTACTAAGTAAAGCATTTTACATCAGTTCTAATGGTTATAGGGGTTTACTGAAAAAAACCCCTAAGTCATGTTTTTGTCCTACATGACAACTTGCATTTTGAGGCTGAAGATAAAAAGAGTATGTCCCTGTTATAGCTGCTAACTCAGAATAGCAGGATGCCTTCTGTAGTTCTCAGATGTCCAATATGAATTCTATTTGATGCAATGTGCTCTATTTTACACTCTCTCATGGGATGCAGCTTGCTGTCTCTGACACAAAACTAGCTAACTCAGTGTCTAAAGCAGTAATTCATAACCAGGGTGCACACAGCACTCTGGAGCACTGCAAGATTCTTGGAAGGCTGCTGCAGGATTAGCAGTTAAATGTAAAAAATCCTTCATGATTCATAAAATAAATCCAGAGATTTCAAATAAGAATCTAGAGTGTCAAAAACATCCTGGGTGCATCCCCATGAGCAGGAACATGTGTTTCCCTGGGGACAAACAGCAGCGGCACATGTGCTGCTGCTGCTTGTCCCCAGGAAACACCCATGCACACATGCTCTGGCACAAGGCACATTGCCCCAGGTAGGATAGGGGAGGCTGGGGCCAGCACCTGGGCTGGCCCCTGCAGCCTTACCTGGGGTCCTGAGGGCTTCCAGGGGCTACAGCCGCAGCAATCTGGCAACACAGAGTCTGACTGGCAGCTGGAGTGTGACGCTGGCCATCTAGGCTCTGGTTTCCAGCTGCTCACGCTGACAACTTGTGCCACCCCACTTTTTTAAGGCACAGGTTTTTTGACACTGGGATCTCCTGGTGTCAAACCCCACCCCGCCACAGTGGTATATGGAATATACCTTTAAGGGGCCAGGAGTGTGATGACCCAGTCTCGCCCCCTGATGCCCTGTGGGTGTGGTTTGTGGTCAGGGGTAGCTGTAGTTGTCCCTGCAAGCATGTGAGTTGATGAATCCTGTTCCTAATAAACATAAAGATGTTTACCATCCCACCAGTCACTGCTAAATGGTGACTTGAGGATAGAACCCCAGGGGTATGGAGGTTGGAGTGAATACCCATCCCAGGAACCCAAAGGCATGGAGTAAACATTATAGCTACACTGCAAATTATCAGTGACAAGAATGCTTGCATATGCAATGTGTGCAGTGTGTGGCGCTGCATACTGCACAACTGCGCTTGTCTGAATGCAACCTCTGAGTTTTTTGCAATGAAAGACTTGCTCTAGTTAATAGCTGGAATTTTCCAAGGGGTGCCTTGATTCTAAAAAAAGGTTGAAAACCATTGGTTTAGAGCAGTGTTTCTCAACCTTTTAAGTAGCAAGTACCCCTTAACTTCTGAAAATTCTAGTAAGTACCCCAACACTCAATTTTCCAGGGCATTTTATATTTACAGACTAATGTGTGTCATATGTTGGAAGAAGGCCTGGGTATATAAGGCCATGATATGACATATGTCTGACCTGGTGTGGGTAGGGTTGCCACCTTTTACACCAGAGGTGTACAACTCAAGTATGTACCTGGGCTAGAGGTGATGTTGCCCAAAGGTAAGAGGGCTGAATGCCAAATTATTACTGGGGAATTTAAAGCGCTGTGCAATGCATGGCACACCAAATCTTTTGCCATAGTTTTGAGAGGAGGAAGGGATGAGAGAGAGAGGAAAAGAGGGTGAGAGAGAGTGTTAGGGTACCCATGTACCCCCTGCTTGTGTCTCATGTACCCCCAGGGGTATGCATACCACAGATTGAGAAACTATGGTCTAGACGAGCAGAGACTCATTGCTCTGCTTCCTCCCTACTCCTTTTGTGGGAGTAATAGAGATACAGATGTTACCCTTAAAAATTACCCTAAACATCTCTTAAAAGCACACAAACAAAAAACCCAAAGATTTTCTCCTGAGTTTGTTGAAGGAAGATAGGGAAAATGTAGCCCTCCAAAATGAGGATAAAGTTGAGAAGTTAAAGATAAAACCCCAGCTACTTAAAAAGGACAACTCACCACTAACAAAACCAGTTTCTGAGTCTGTCCATGAGTATGTATGGTACTATTTCCCTACTTATCACCAATGAGCAACTGGAATAAACAAAGATTAACTATGCAAACTATCCATAGTAAGTTAAAAGATACAGAAATAGTAGTCTGAGAGGGTTTAGATATGACCTCCCTGTTTACTTGACACTCTTGAACCCATATCATCTCCCCTCCTCTAAGTCCATCAAAAATAGCTGCCAAGGTCTTATGGAGAACTGAGCATCCATTAATGTAACACTTGTTTATACTTTTTTTTACTACAGTAGTACAACGATGGGTGGACACGGAGAGCACAGGCTCTGGGCTCTGCTGGTGGGGTGTGTGCTGGAATAGAGCAAGAGGGACCTGACCCTCCCATCCCCTGTCCTTCCCCTACACCATTCTTATGGCACTCTGCCATGTGAAGGGCAGAGTGGTGGTGGTAAAGCCAGTGGTTTGCTGCTGCTGTGGGGAGATGTCACCTTCTTTTCTTGGTTGCTGAAAACTGGTGTTCTTGACACTTATATTGGCAGCAAAAAAAGGTAACATCTCCCCCAGCAGCAATGAACTCCCCTAATGGCCATCTACACCTCTGTGTTACTACCTGTCTAATACACTCTAAATCACGCTAAGGGCCTGTGTGAGTGCAGTAACTCTCTTGTTTAGAGTTCAATGTAGGATTTAAATTTTAATCCTTGTAATACCCTTGTGAATTAAAAATTCTACAGATGGTAAACTGAGAGATGCACAGAGTTAATACTGTAAATCCTCTAGTGAGCAATGTCCTGCCTCATTATTTCCATTTCAAGGATACTATTTCCGTGAATAAGTTTCACAGGAAGATCATGGTAATATTTGGAATAAAGAAATGAAAACATCAGCCCTGCATTTTAAATGCAGTTAGTAGAAATAAGATGGATTTGCTTTTGTAACCTGGACGGACCTCCAAGAGGTACCCCCTCTCCAATTGAAGGGATCAAAGCAGGTGCAGCACAAGCGCTGTGGGAGGTGTAGGGACTCTCCTCCACTCTAGAGCAGAGCCAGACCACCGATGGGGACTTAATCATATACCTTTTAATACTGGGAACATAACAGTAGGGGAACAGTAGGGGAACTCCCTACTTGAGAGCACGGAGGCAGAAAGGGATCTTGGAGTCATTATTGACCCCAAGATGAACATGGGCTG